GTGGGCAGCACCAGCCTGTCTGGAGAGCACGGCGTGTCTCTGTCTGCTGCTCTGGTAAAAATGCAGGACCCATCCCAACAGGACACCTCACGGGAATCTGTGATTGTGAGTAGTGGCAAAGGAATTATTCCTACCACTCACACATGTGACACTCACATCACACATGCCAGAGGCTTGAAACCCGAGCATTCCAGGGGACTTAGTATGTTTAAATCTCACTAACTTTAATTTTTCACGGATAGTATCAGTGATAAATATTATTGCTGGACTTTCTTAAAGTATTTTGAACAATGATCTATAACCCAAGTCAACGCCATTCACCTTCACATCCTGAGCAGGCACATTGTCTAGAGTGCTAGAGGAGCAGCCCAGATATTCATCCTTAGTCTCTGCTCTGCAGCACCCCCCAATGAGAGGAAGACTCTAAGTAAATAAGACAACATCCTTGGTATGTGATAATTAAGTGACTGAAATCATGTAAATCGATCATGTCAATACCTGGCATATAGTAAGTCATGTTGGTGTTATTACTCTTTTTTCTGAGAAATGAAACTATTCTGTCACAAGGAAGTTTCTGTACAGGTAAAGTCAGGTTGCTCACAAGAGGAAGGGTTAGGTTCATCCTCATGGTTCCATCTAACTGGTGACTCCCACGTGGAACTATGTGATACTGAAGCTCCTAAAAAATGGAATCATTGTCAGTTCTCAGGAAAAATTTGATGGAGATGACTGTTACTAGTGTATGCAAACACTGAGTGTACAGTTGGGTCCCATATCTCTTAGAACTCAGTAAGTTACAACATTGTTCACTGCAAATTATCTATCCCAGTTGGCTGCTGCTCCCAACAGCTGCCAGTCATAATACAACTTACAGTCAATGGCTTAGGCAACTGGGAGCAGAATTCCCTGCCTAGACAGATCACCTACCATTTGTTTGGTAGGAATGGAGTTTAAGGTGGAGCAAAGCTTGTCCTTCTATAATAAGCAAGGTTGAGTTGGACAAATCCCTGAAGACCCTTGTTTATACTTGAGGGTAACTTAGTTATAAATTACTTATAGTCTTAAATTCTATTTCAAAGAGCAGGAATGACCCTAGAAAAGGAGAAATCCTGCAAGTAAATTTCACCAGCTTTATAATTGTGCTCCAACCTTGCCATTATTAAAAGAACTTCCTGGGTATAGGAGCTACCATCTAACCAATAAGTTATATTTTGAAAAAAAAATAGAATTTCTCCCAATTCTATTCAAATCTTCAGAATTCTTATTCAAATCTGTACATAACACACAGTTTTTATACAGCACTGAATTTCCCATTATTGAAAATGGAATGATATCTAACAGTTTCATTTACTACATCAGACTATATTTGAAGTCTGTCCATAAAGTATCCAGCCATGTGCTATGAACACTGGAAACATTTACTGAAGAAGATACAAGAAACATTGTACAAAGACAATGATGCCTCAGTCCCCTTCTAAGTAGGCATCTTGTGACCTCACACAGTTCTCCCAACTGCAGCACAATGTTCCTCTGCTCTGATTGTAGAAGCTGCAGAAGGAATTTTACCCCAACATGTTCAATGTCAATATCCTGCATCAAAATCTAGGGCACAGTAGTTTTTTTTGGGGGGGGGCATTCAATCTATTTTTTAAATTTATTATTTTGTTCAAATACATTTGTCTCCACCTTCCCACCATCACTTTCCCCTGCCCCCAACCCCCATTTCCCTTCCTTAATCCTTCCCCATGGGACACAGTAGTTTTTGGCTATTTCTCTCACTGTCAGTCGCCAGTCTTTGCTGATTGATTGTAGCCCATAGACATTCAACATTCTCAGGTATTCTGTTTGTTGCAGGCCTTCCAGAATGTGGATTACTTTCAGCAGATTCTTGACCATCTTTGAGGCATTTGTGTTGCACTTTTATTTGTGCTGCATTCATTGCATCATCCCTGAAAGCTTTCTGAATCATCCAAATGGTTTCCACAGAGGAATGTTCAAGCTTACTGCAAAATTTGATGCAGATTCATTGCTCTACTCGATCTGTCATTTTGAATGTTACGGCTCCACAGTGCACATGCTCATTCAACAGCGTCTACTGCCCCCACTGACCAGTACAGTGAAGTCATCATTATTCATGCATGCACATTCCAACCCACTCTCCTTGGCTGCCAGGTTACATTAATGTCATGCAAACCATTCTTGTTATATCAACAATGGCTGAACTTTTTCCATACAGACCGGTATTAATTAATGCCAGGCATCACAGGGAGCTCAGAAGAATTAAACAGGTGAAGATAAGAACATAGTGAAAAATGGAGACAACTGTACTTGAACAACAATAAAAATAATAATAATAAATAAAATTAAATTAAAATTGAAAAGAAACGGAAAAAGAAAATAGTAAAATTTAATACAAATGTTATATGTTAATAGAACATTAATGTTAACTCTTATACAGTTACTCTCACTTTATAGAAAAGGGGATATTCACGAAACAATGACTGTGCCCTGACTTTGTGTCCATCAGAAATGTCCACACTGACGTCCATACAGGGAATGGAGCTACATTACGAGGAGGAAAAGCTAGCCCCAAGATGTAATGTTTATAATCATATAGTAGTAGAGCCCATGTGTCTCAAGAAAATAATCATTTCCTGGGAAGGAAAAAAGAACTATTTTCAAAGACATTGTAAAGTGTGACTTCATAATGCAAATCTCATTTCACTAAGCCTAAGTACCAATGAAAAGAAGTTCATCCTAAACCACCATGGCCTCAAGGCCAGTGGCACCTGTTAATAAAGCAGTCTTTAGGGGACAGAATCACTTAATAGCTGAAATTTGAATTGAAGATTTTACTACATACAGCTATTATATCTTGTTTACATAATCTGATAATGTACAATTGTGTTAACAAAAATTCATACTTAAAATGGTTCAGGTGTTTTCTCTGAGGAAAGTCAAGCTGTAAGCTAAAAGCTGCCTGTGTAAAGATACTGAGGAAAACTTATCTGAGAGCTCTGCCCTGTATGGTCTAACATTTCCAATGACTGGGTCCCTTGCTAGTGCTTTCTGCCAGTAAGATCCCTGGAAGGAGAGAGGAAAAAGATGACATGCAATCCTCTGCAGAGGGGGTTTTATACCCACAAACAATCCTGGAATGTGTGTTTTACTTTATTACTGTTAAAGTTGATAAAAATTAAAGTTGGAGTCTCATCAGTGCATCTCCCCAGATTCATCCTCCTCCCCTACTGGTGGCCACTAAGATGATTTTTGAGAGTGTCTTTCCAACTCCCATTTTTATCATTTTACTTTGTATCCACATGAATGTCAATGACAGCCAGTATTATTTTGTGTATATTTTTTCATAGTTGAAATTATATTGAATATGTTCTATACCTTGCTCTTGTGCAGGCCACATCATTTGTTTATTTCAGTCATGTAGAGAGAGAAGAGAAGGGAGATCCAATTTAATTTAACCACTCTATGGTATTCAAACCTACAAATCTTCAATATCTGTCCTACTCATCCTCAAATGACTCAAATGTGTTACCCATTATGAGCAGTTTTCAATGCTCCCATTTCTTCCATCCTCACTCCCAGGCAGAAGCAAACCACTCACTCTCAAAAGTATTATGGGTATTTGTCTGGGATGTCTTATAATATAATAATCTTCTTCCATAAGTTACAGCTTCTCTATTTACTTAAAACATCCTCCCAACTAGACTTACCCTCTTTCATCTTTCGTTGCTCCAAGGGCATGGTACAAAGACTTATTCATCACTGCTTCTCATCACACTTGTTGAACTATATTAAGAGGGTATGCCTGGTGGCCATGGTCTTTTTTCTATTCTGGATCCCCAACAGCCATACTTTCTCAAATAAATTTTTAAGATTCTAACAGTAAATTCATCTGAATGCTTCTCACCAGTGACAACTTGAAGATACATCAATTATAAATTATTAACTTTCCTTATCAATCAAGCAATCCTGAGGCCTAAATTTCTTATGGACCTAGGTCAGGTATTCGCTACTGAAATCATTACAGAGAACTGGTGACTGCAAAAAGAATTAGAACCCAATCACAAACTAGGGGCAGGCCCTTTGCTTCTCTCCTTCCTGTGCTATTGACCATGATTAGTTTTCTGCAAAACAATAATTCCCTAAGGGATAGGCAGGACCAACCACAAGAAGAAACCTTCTACATTGTAGGCAGCTGTGGGAGGAAAAGTTAAAATATTTGGTTAAAGCAAAAGATTTAACACTATCACTTAAAGGAAGGTTTTTTAAGTATCTATAGATTTTTATTTAGCCTGTAATAAAACTAAATTGTAATTATTTGGACAGAATATAAATATAGGCATATATTCTAACAAATCACATTTTTTCTTACACTATTAAAGTAGATATGAATAGTAATCATTCAACAGATAATTGCTTTTGTATCTATTATCCTACCTTTAAGAAGATGGTAATTGAGTTAGGGAAGACATCAAGCTTGCAAAGTTAAATAATAATACCTAACAATAGTATGAAACACCTTATAAGAAAAAATATTCAGTCGAGATTTTGATATGTGTAAGTCTTAATATGCTAATAATTATTATAGTATGACAATCATTAACAACTATCATTAATTAAGCATTAAGTTTTGCATGAGTAAAACTTTAATATTACAAGGTAAGTATTGTTTTTACCTTCATTTAACAGATTAGGACACTGAGGGCATGAGAGGTTACGTGGTAATAGATACTGGAGACAGGACTGAAACTCAAATCATTCTGACCAGGATCCAAATTATCACTATACTATATATTTGGGGTTTTTTCCCCTAAATTTAGAGTCAAGACAAGTCCATATCCATTGGCAACTAATATTTTAGTGTTAACACCGACAACATTATCTATTACTCTTTATTTCCATTGCATTTTAAAATCATTTGGAATAATGGCCTTTTAGCTGTGTCTACAAGGATTATTTTTCTCTTTTGTTTTTCTCTTTAGGGTTGGGATAGACAGATGCTTTATGACATGTCACTAAGATTGAAATCCACTCTCTATTTACCTGGTGATTTTGTCTGCAGAATAGGTGAGAATGCTATTTTTCAATTGCACGACAGGCAAATAAGTACATGTGAGGAGTTCAGACATAAGAGCATAGTTTAAACAAAATTTGTCCAGGGTGAATTCTACAGTACAGCAATAATTATGGTATACAGTTCTGTAAAAATGGTAATGTGCTCTCAGAGTTCAAAATAGAACAAAACATGGATTTCATTACTCAGAGGACATAAATGGGTAGTCTGAAAAGTTGCTTTTTAAAAATGTATATCATCAAGCATTATACCTAATTAATTCCAAATTATTTAAGTGGAGGGAAAAGTTACAGAAATAAAAGGTAAGTCTGCCCTTATTATGTCTTCCACAAATTATCAGTTACCTCCATTTAGTTCATCCAGTTAGTGGATAATTAATGCCACATTTTTTTTTATTTTACTGTGTTTTTTATTATTACAAAAGTAAAACATATAAAAGCACAAAGAAAAAATTCCACCACCCAGAAATAACCACTATTGATATGTTTTGGCCTATCTTTTTATACTACTTGATGGATAGTTTTAGAAAATGAGAGACTACATCAATAGTAAAATCAAAAATATCCAAATGAAAAATAGAGGAAGAAGAGCATTTCAAAGAAATGAGAGATAATCCCAAACTCTGGGGAGCTGACAGGTGAGGGTGGGTGGGAAGCATTTGCATCAGTCCAGATCAGGTCTCACAGCGAGTGCTGTGGTGGTAGGAACCTTCTGGAGGACACAGACTAAGGACACCTGTACCACTGGGGACTGGCAGGAATTCCTATGAAACATAATGTTCAAGCTGTCTTGAAGAATAAATTGGCATGAACCAGGAGAAAACAGGCATTCCAGATAAAGGAAAGAATTAGCATGTGCTAAAGCAGAAAGGAAGGAACTGTGTCTGCAGAGAGCATCAGAGAACTATGGTAAGTCACAAGTTATAAGTCTTTATTTTTGAACAACAAAGGAAAACATCAACAAAATAAAACAAACAACCCACAGAATGGGAGAACATATTCACTGATACATCTGACAAGGGGTTAGTATCCAAAATTTATATAGAACTTACAAAATTCAACACGGAAAAAACAAACAACCCAATTAAAAAATGGGCAAAGGACCTGAATAGACACTTCTCCAAAGAGGACATACTGATGGCCAATAGACATATAAAAAGATACTCAACATCACTAATAATCGGAGAAATGCAACATAAAACCACAGTGAGATATCATCTCACATCTGTCAGAATGGCTATCACCAATAATTCAGCAAGCAACAAGCGCTGACAAGGATGTGAAGAAAGGAGAACTGTTTTGCACTGTTGATGGGAATGCATATTGGTGCAGCCACTGCGGAAAGCAGTATGGAAATACTCAAAAAATTAAAAATGGACCTGCCTTTTGACCTTTAATGTTTAGGATCCCAAAACACTAATTCAAAGAACATAAGTATCTCTATGGTAATTGCAGCATTATTTACAGCCAACAAGATATGGAAGCAGCCCAAGTGTCCACAATTAAATGAGTGGATAAAAACTATGGGACATTTAGAAAATGGAATACTACTCAGCCATAAAAAAGAAGAAAATTTACCCGTTCTGACAACATGGACGTGGAGAACATTATGCTAAGTGAAATAAGCCAGTCAGAGAAAGACAAATACCATATGATTTCACTCATAGGTGGAATCTGATGAACACATTGGCCTAAGAAGCAAAACAGAGATAGACTCATAGATAGAGAGCAGGATGGCGGCTAAGCAGGGGATTGAGCAAAAAGTAAAAAGGACTTATGAACATGGACAATAGGGTGGTGGTTTCAGGAGTAGGGAGAGAGGTTTAAGAGGATTAACTAGTAATGGAAAAATGCAAAAATAATAGAAGAAACAAGTTAGAAGACTTTAGTATTGTTCATTCAAATGTTTTGAACACTGTGAACACGCACCTGTGGCAGATTCTAGGTATAATCAGCAGTGAGCCAAAAAAATTATTGTTCTTATCCTCCAGGGGCTGACACTCAGTGCTAGGCTGTCCATAATCACCTGCATTTAGAGGTCCGGGCTTAGCCCCCAGCTATTTAGTAGGTCTGGTGGAGCCCACATATCAATTCTTTTTATTTTTTTAATATATCTTTCTTTTTTTGTTTGTTCTTCTTTCTTTTTTATAAATTTTATTTTAATTTATTTTTTCAAATACATTTGTCTCTGCCAACCACCCACCACTTTCCCTTGCCCCCTCCTTCCTTCCCTCCTTCAGCTCTTCCCCTTTGGTTTTCTCCATGAGTCCTTGCTATACCGTCCTTGACTTTCCCATTCCCTTCCTTGTCCCCGCCCCCGCTCCCTCCTTCCCTCCTGTCTCTATTGATTTCTTTTCCTTTCAGTGTTGCTGCTCTTATTTTCCTTGCATCTTTGTATTGTTTGTTAGGTTCCACTTATAGGTGACATCGTATGGTATTTGTCTTTCGCCCCTTATTTCACTTAGCATAATGCTCTCCAGTTCCATCCATGCTGTCACGAAGTTTAGTAGTTCTTTTTTTCCTTCTGCTGCGTAGTATTCCATTGTGTATATGTACCATTACTTTTTGATCCAATTATCTACTGATAGGCATTTAGGTTACTTCCAACACTTGGCTATTGTAAATTGTGCTGCTATGAACATTGGGGTGCATAGGTTCTTTTGTATTGGCGTGTTTTGGTTCTTAGGGTATAGTCACAACAGGGGAGTCACTGGATCAAAAGGTAATTCAATTTTCATCTTTTTGAGGAAATTCCACACTGAGTTCCACAGTGACTGCACCAGTCTGCATTCCCACCAACAGTGGACTAGGGTTCCCTTTTCTCAACAGCCTCGCCAGCACCTGTTGTTTGTTGATCTGTTCATGACAGCCATTCTGACTGGTGTGATGTGGTACCTCATGGTGGTTTTGATCTGCATTTCTCTGATGGCTAGTGATGCTGAGCATCCTTTCAAATGCCTCTGGGCCCTCTGTATCTCCTCTTGGAAAAGCGTCTGACCAGGTCCTTTGCCCATTTTTTGATTGGATCGTCTGTCTTCTTGGAGTGGAGTCGAGTGAGTTCTTAATATATCTTGGAGATCAAACCTCTATCTGATCTAACATTAGCGAGTATATTTTCCCATATGGCTGCTCCTTTTTCATTTCGCTTATGTTTTCTTTATCCGTGCAGAAGCTTCTTATTTTGATGAGGTCCCACTTGTTTATTCTTTCCTTTATGTCCCTTGCTTTAGGAGACATATCAGTGAAAAAATTGCTGCGAGGGGTATCTGAGAGTTTCCTGCCAATGTTCTCCTCTAGGACTTTGATGGCGTTGCGACTTATACTTAAGTCTATTATCCATCTTGAGTTTATTTTTGTGTATGGTGTCAGCTGATGATCCATTTTCAATTATTTGCATGTAGCCGTTTAGCTCTCCCAACACCATTTGTTGAAGAGGCTATTATTGCTCCATGTTATGCTTCTGCCCCTTTGTCAAATATTAGATGCCCATATGGACCTGGGCTTATTTCTGGGCTTTCTATTCTGTTCCACTGGTCTATAGGTCTGTTCTTGTGCCAGTACCAGATTGTTTTGAGTATAGTGACTTTGTAGGACAGTTTGATGTCTGGTATTGTGATCCCTCCTGCTTTGTGTTTCTTTCTCAAAATTGCAGAGGCTATGTGGGGTCATTTATGGTTTCATATAAATTTTTGAAATGTCCGTTCTATTTCTGTGAAATATGTCATTGGTATCTTAATATGGATTGTGTTGAATCTATAAATTGCTTTGGGTAGTATAGATATTTTGATGATATTAATTCTTCCTATCCATGAGCACAGTATATGCTTCCATTTATTTGTGTCTTCCTTAACTTCTTTTTTCAATGTTGTATAGTTTTCTGCGTACAGGTCTTTTACGTCCTTGGTTAAATTTATCCCTAGGTACTTTATTTTTCTTCTTGCTATATCGAATGGTATTTTTTTTTTCTGATTTCTTCTTCTTCTATTGCATTGCTGGTGTACAAAAATGCCTTTGATTTCTGAATGCTGACTTTGTATCCTGCTGTTTTGCCAAATTCACTTATTAGGTTGAGGAGTTTTTTGGTAGAGTCTACAGGGTTCTCTATGTACACTATCATGTCATCTGCAAACAATGTTAGCTTTATTTCCTCCTTTCCTATTTGGATGCCTTTTATTTCTTTTTCTTGTCTGACCGCTATGGCTAGGACTTCCAATACGATGTTGAAAAGAAGCAGGAAGAGCGGACATCCTTGTCGTGTTCCCAATCTTAGTGGGAAAGTTTTCAGTTTTTGCCTGTTTAGTATGATATTGGCTGTAGGTTGTTCATATATGGCTTTTATTACTTTGAGGAATGCCCCATTATTTCCATTTTGCTGAGTGTTTTGATCATAATGGGTGCTGTACCTTATGGAAATCTTTTTCTGCATCTATCAAGATGATCATGTGGTTTTTGTCCTTTCTTTTATTTATGTGATGTATCACGTTTACTGATTTGCGTATATTGAACCATCCCTGCATGTCTGGGATGAATCCCACTTGATTGTGGTGTGTAATCTTTTTAATGTGTTGCTGGATGGGGATTGCCAATATTTTGATCAGGATTTTAGCATCTATGTTCATCACAGAAATTGGCCTGTAGTTTTCTTTCTTTATAGGGTCTTTATCTGGTTTTGGGATCAGGGTGATGTGGGTCTCATAGAAAGACTCTGGGAGTCTTCCCTCTTCTTGGATCTTTTGGAATAGTCTGAGAAGAACAGGGGTTAGCTCTTCCTTAAATGTTTTGTAAAATTCTCCTGTGAAACCGTCCAGCCTTGGGCTTTTGTGTGCTGGGAGTTTCTTGATTACTGCTCAATTTCCCCAGCTGTTATCGGTCTGTTCAAGCTTTCTGTTTCTTCCTCCTTCAGTGTAGGAAGCTTAAACTTTTCTAGAAATTAGTCCATTTCATCCAGGTTTTCAAATTTCTTGGCATATAATTGTTCATAGTAGTTTCTGACGATACTTTGTATTCCTGTGGTATCCATTATTATTTCTCCCCTTTGGTTTCTGATATTATTAATTTGGGTCCTCTCCCTTTTTTTCTTGATGAGTCTGCTTAAAGGCTTGGCAATTTTATTTATGTTTTCAAAGAGCCAGCTTCTGGATTGGTTGATCCTCTGAATTGTTCTTTTCGTCTGTATGTCATTCAGTTCTGCTCTGATCTTGACTGTTTCCTTCCTTCTCCTTGCTCTGGGATGTATTTGTTGTTGTTTCTCCAGTTCTTGAAGTTGTAGTGTTAGGTCATTTATTTGAAATGTTTCTATTTTTTTTTTTTTTTTTGGTAAGCCTGTATTGCTATGAACTTCCCTTTCAGGACTGCCTTTGCTGTGTCCCATAGGTTTTGGACTGTTGTCTGTTCATTTGCATTTCTCTCCAGACATTTTTTTATTTCTTCTCTTATCTCATTATTGACCCATTCATTTTGTAATAGTCTACTGTTCAGTCTCCATGAGTTTGCAAGTTTTTGAAGTTTCTCTTTGAGGTTGATTTCCAGTTTCAATCCCTTGTGGTCTGACAAAAAGTTTGGTATTATTTCAATTTTCCTGAAGTTGCTGAGGCTTGCTTTGTGTCCTATCATGTGGTCTATCTTTGAAAAACTGCCATGAGCATTTGAAAAGAATGTGTATTTTTCTTCTTTGGGATATAAGGTTCTCTATATGTCAGTTAAGTCTCTTTGATTCAGTGTGTCATTCAGCACCACAATATGTTTATTAATGTTTTGTTTGGAAGATCTTTCCATTTTTGACAGTGGGGTGTTGAAATCCCTTACTATCTGTGTGTTGCTGTCTATATCTTTTTTGAAGTCATCCAACAATTTCTTTATAAATTTGGGGTTCCTATATTGGGAGCATATAAGTTTACAATGTTGATGTCTTCTTGATAGATTCTTCCTTTAAGTATTATAAAGTGCGCCTCTGGGTCTCTTTTTATGGCCTTCGTTTTGAAATCTACTTTGTCTGATACAAGTATGGCAACCCCGGCCTTTTTCTCATGCCCATTTGCTTGGAATATTATTTTCCATCCCTTTACTTTCAATCTCTGTAGGTCTCTTGCTCTGCGGTGTCTCTCTTGTAGGCAGCATGTGTGGGTCATGTTTTCTTATCCATTCAGCTACCCTGTGTCTTTTGATTGGGGCATTTAGTCCATTTACATTGAGAGACATTACTGATAGAAACTTACTCATCTTTTCTCTTTGTACCTGTGGTCCTCTCTCTCTCTCATTCTTTTCCTTCATCTTCTTAAAGCAGTCCCCTTAGCATATCTTGGAGCGCTGGTTTGGTAGAGATGCATTCTTTTAGCCTTCTCTTGTCTGGGAAACTCCGTATTTTCCCTTCTATTTTAATGGAGAGCCTAGCTAGGTAGAGCAGCCTTGGCTGTAGGCCCTTGCTTTTCATGGCTTGGAATATTTGTTGCCATTCCTTTCTGGCTTGTAGTGTTTCTGTTGAGAAGTCAGGTCCTAGGTGTATCAGAGCCCCCTTGTATGTTACTTTCTCCTTCTCCATTGCTGCCTTGAGGATTCTCTCAATGTCTTTGATAGTTACCATTTGAATGATGATGTGTCTTTGAGTGGACCTCCTTGGGTCCCTCTTGAGTGGGGTCCTCTGTGCCTCCTGGATTCATGAGAGCCTTTCTCTCCTCAAATTAGGGAAATTTTCCAGCGTTACTTTTTCGAGGAAGTTTTCTATTCCTTGCTCCTCTTCTTCTCCTTCTGGTATCCCTAATATACGGATATTATTGCATTTTAGGTTGTCCTGCATTTCCCTAAATGCCGCTTCATTCTTTTTGAGTCGTTTTTCCATTTCTTGTTCTTTCTGGGAGCTTCTTTCTACCTTATCCTCCATCTCACTGATTCGGTCCTCAGCTTCATCCTGCCTGCTTTGGACCCTTCTACTGTGTTCTTCAATTTAGAAATGGTATTCTTCATATCCTCTTGTGTCTTCTTGATAGTTTGTATGTCCTTTTCCAGGCTGATATAGCTTGCCGTTAGATCCTGATAGTTTCTCTGCAGTTTCTCTTAGTTATCTTTGAGCTGGCGGAGCTCATTGGCCTTCCCTAGAACCATTGTTTGGAATTCAATATCTGGTAGTTCCGTTGCCTCTATTTCATTTACCTCTCTCTGTGGGGAGTCCCCTTTTCCACTCATTTGGGGGGAACTTCTTTTTCTTCCCATTTTTGTGAGAGTCTGTTAAGTATTTTTGTCCTTTACTTTTCTTTCTGGGCCTGCATCTGATGCTGTCAGTTGTTGACCCTATATGATCTTGGGTTGTTTGTTTGAGCCTTCCAGGAGTCTACTGTCTGTGTCTAACTCCTGCTTGGGGAAGCTCTGTAACCCCTTTGGTCAGGGCTGGGCTATTTTTTGTGATCACTCTGCACGCTCACACTGGCTCCTTGAGCGTGCTCTGGGTGCGGCAGGATCACCCGCCTGCCTGGGCTCGCATGTGCTTGCCCCAGACCAGGGGGCTAATCACGACCTCGCATATTCATCTGGCCCCCCTGGCCAGTGAGCTCCCTGGCACTGGTCAGTTTAGCGTCTTCTATTGTGTGTTTTCCCCGTTTTTGGCTCTTTGGGTGCGTTGCTTGCCCTTGCCATGTGGGGACTAAGGAAATGGGAGGAAGTCAGCTCCTGGACTCTGGTTAATCTTGTCTCCGGTCTCTCCTCCAGGTTCTCTGGGCAGCTCTCTGACCCCTTCAGCCAGGGATCTACTAATTTTGTGGGCCGCTCCACCATCGCGGGCCCGGCGGGTCAATTTATGCCTGCCCTTGCCACTCTGTGCACTCCCTCTCAGACCGTATGGGTGCCAATCTGTGGGAGTCCTTGCCGGCCGGTGCAAGCATTCACCAGCCCACCTCAATGTTTTTTAAAGCTCCCAGATGATTCTAAAATACAGTCAAAGTTAAAATCACTGCCTGATGGAAGAGGCAAACGATAAACAAATGAAATGAAATAAACACATAACTCCAAAATGGGCTAACACTCTAAAGGAGAAATGAAGAGGCCAGGAAAGTGTGCAGTGACAAAGGAGAAGGGAGGTTGTCATGTGGTCTGCATGACCTTTGCAAAATCTAAGGAGAAATAGTTCTTTAGTAAGAAAGTGGAGAGGACAGCATTGGGCATAAAGATATGGAGAGGAGGCAGGTCAGAGTTTGGCATATTCAAGTGATTGCCTGGGATAATGGTGAAAGGCAAAGGCAAGCAGAGTGTTGGGCACTTCAGGACATCCTGGCGGGGACACATGGAAATCTGTGTCATCCAGGAGAGAAGAGGGAACTGTAGGTAAGTCTTTGGGAACCACATCATGGAATCTGACTTCATGAAAAGCTCAAGCTAAGGTCAGAGAAGAGGCCCAAGTCCACAGCTGAAGAACCCAATGTTTATGGAGGAGGTCAAGGAAGAAGAACCAGAGAGGGCAGCTGCCAAGGAGCTGTCAGAGGAATAAGAGGGAGAAAAGAAGAGGGTGTGATGTGATGGAAATCAAGAGTACACATTCCCTCACAAGTTAGTCCAAGTGCAAAGTAGGCAGATTGGTGATATTAAATCACTTGCATTAAAAAGGGAAAATAATAACCATAGCTCAGTTTAAGGACCCCTTTGGGGCAGTGGTACCTTTGGAAGACATGGCCTTACTGCACCAAGATGGCCTTTCCATTGGTTCCTAGGCAGCAGGGACTGACAACTGAGGTGAGAGAGGAACTTTCTCACCCTTGCCCCTAAGGAGTGTCAGTTTGCTTGACAAAATGTGAATGCAGAGCAGATGCAGCCTTCTCAGGACTGATTTCTTGCCATGTCACACCCATCACTTAGTTAAAAAAAGCAGATCAGTGAACACAGATGTGGAGAAAAAAATTAGTAGGGAAAAGAGGAAAGGACAAGCCACATTTCTTTGTTTTTGTTTTTGTTTTTAAGAGGGGATTTAAGCCATTGTTGATATTGACAGATGAAAGCTTGTTACTTGGCCAGACTTTAGACAGCTGAATTCAACTTAGTTTTTGCTTCCCATTTCTGCAAATCACTGTAGCAAAAGGGAAGAGAAAGGGTAGCCTCCATGTTGCTTGGAGGCTACCTAAATAACTAAAGAAATATCAGGGCTCACACAGCTGCATCATCCCTGGGATGGCTCCTAAACTTGTTGAGTGGGGAGCTTGGACTGCTTCAAAGACTACATGGAAGTTTTTCCAGGAACAATTTGCAAGAATTATTTTGAGTTTGGCAATGCTCCCACTACCCCTGGAAGTAGCTTGTACCCAGGAGCCCTGAAAATGTGAAATGCTCACTTAATAAGTGTTGCTGTGTTCTACATGAAGTTCTTGCCTTTCTACACTTCCTCCAAAATAGTGCACAAACCAACCTCGAGAGGTGGGTTTGGTCTTATTTTGCACATGCTGTCAGACCTTGTGATCTAAGAAATGTCTGCTTCATTTGAATGTTAATTTATCTTGCAGGAAAGGCTTCAATTAGTCTAGAAATATGCAAAAAGTAATGGAAGTTTTGATTGGTTGATTATGCAAGATCTCCTTGGAAAATATTGAAATAATCATTAAAAAATCATTAAAAGTGCTGAACTATATTTAAGTACCCATTATGTACTTCTACCTCTGGTCAGTTGTAATATCTGCCTTTGAAAAATCATTCCAGTTTCTTAAAAATTATTTCATTCAGAGAATAAGAAATATGACCCTATTCTAATCATTACTTCCTAGAGTATCTCTTGGAAAACTAATTTTCAGATACTTTCCCCTTATTCTAAAAATAATTCATAGCTATTTTATTGGTTTCTAAGAGATCAGTCTTGGTATTAGAATCATTGTTAGATATGGTCTATATAGTCTAACTGTATGTATTATATAGAGTCAAGTGACATGGTACTGCTACTTCTAAAATTGTAATCTGCTGGCCTTGTAAGTTGGCTCAACACACAACTGTTCAAGCCTCTACTACTGATTTTTAAATTACAATAATGATCTCTCTTGTATTTGGCTTTACTGGGATTTCTGTAAGAATTAAGAGATAGAGGAGGGTATAGGGGGGATAATGGAAAGGAGACTTGACTTGGGTGATAACCACACAATACAGTATACAGATGATGTGTTGTGGAATTTTGCCCCTGAAACCTTATATAATTTTGTTAACCAGTGTCACCACAATAAATTCAATAAAAATGAAAAAACAATTAAATGAGTTAGTCTATAAAAATGCTTTGTAATTATAAAGTAGAATGTTCTGATAGAACAAATAGAGGAATTAAAAGAAGGAGCAATGTAACTACCAGATATTTTTATGACTTTTACAAGTGCCATTCAAATGCAAAATATTCTTATTAGTATTCACATTATGGAAATAACATAATAAGATCCATTTTTATTGAAACTATACTTTGATATATATATATAAAAAATATATATGTAAATGCATGCTTAACAATGCACAGTTTGAACATACATCCTACATTGCTTAATTAGGAGATGTGTTTTCTATGCCTCTAATGGCTGTCATGGGGCTTTGGTTAAAATAATCTGTGCTTTTATTTTTCTTTCTGTAAAATGGAAATAATAGTACATACTCTACCTTCCTCATAAAGGTAATGGGGAAATAAAATGAGAATTTCAACTTTACAGAGGTTATCTAAGAAGTAGAGAGTGAAAACCTTAAACCAACAATTACAATGCAATGATAATTAATGTTCAGGACAATAGCTTCAGTGTTAAAGGACTTCAAAACTTCCCAGATTGATTAAATTATATTTTCCTCATTCATGAATGAATGCCTATATCACAAACCCTATCTCAGCAGTAGAACACAGTAGACATTTTCTGAACCACTGCAGAGCATAAACTCTTATAAACTCTGTTTAATCCTGAGTTAATTTTAGTATATTGTAATATTTTGAAAATATATAGGTACTATTATTTAAATAGTAAAAAAAAAAAAAAAAAGAAAGAAAGAAAGAAAAAAAAGAAATGGAATGGCAGTATTCTAACCCAGGTCATCTGACACCAGAGTCCATGCTATGAAATTACGGAGCTGTGGTGTCCAGTATGGTAGCTGCTAGCCACATGTGTGTATCAATCACATGAAATGTGGCTAGTCAGAACTGAGATGTGCTTTAAGTGTAAAATACACGATGAGTTTTGAAAACTTAGTACCAAATTATGTAAAATATTAATAAATACTGGGTTTAATAAAATATATTATTAAAATTAAAAGAAAAATGTTTAAAAAGAACTGGCTCATTCAGAGTGTAACAGCCTCTGAATAACAGCCTCTGGGACAATAACATCATGTCCCAGTTGTCATTTAGGTCTCTTGTAAGACACATTTATTCTTTGTGCATCTTGGAGTAAGAAGATATGCTCCAGGGGTCCCACAAATACTCACTGGTTTGGTTATTTGTATGAGTCAACATAAAGTCAAGACGTAGTACAGCAAAGCACACAGTGTGGGCACAGCAGGAAAATGACACGCACATGCAAAGGCTAGAGAAATCAGGTGCAGGATTCCTGGGTCTTTCTTTGGGAAAGATCACCAGGATGCATTCTCCCAGTTATGGACCATAGAAATAAGAGAAAAATGCCTCCACATAGAAAGTCCATCTGAGTCTTAAGATCCATTGTTCTTTGTTTTTATATCTTTTTTTTATTTTTCAATTACAGTTGACATATAGTATTATATTAGTTTCAGGCGTACAACATAGTGATTTGACATTTATATACCTTACAAAAGTGATCACCTCAATAAGACTAGCACCCACCTGACACCATACATAGTTATTACAATATTATTAGCTACATTCCCTATGCTGTGTTTTACACCCCCATGACTATTCTGTAACTACCAATCTGTACTTCTCAATTCCTTCACATTTTATACTCAATTCCCCAACCCCCTCCCATCAGTCAACCATCAAAATGTTTTTTTTTTTTTGTATCTATGAGTCTGTTTCTGGTTTTTTTGTTCACGTATTCTGTTTTTTTGTTCAATTAATTGCCATTTTATTGTTCTTAAATGGGTCTGGTCAGGTAGCTACATGACAAACCATGGTTTAGATTCCAAACTAAATACTGAGTATACATCACAAATCTTTTTTCACATTAAACAGTGCTGACAGCTGAGTGTCCTGCCACTGTGCCTCAGGTATACAGAATAATACCATTGGCCAGTGATCACTTGAGAATCCCAGAACTTGAACAAGGGTCAATGCCCTGGCTTCAGGAGTCCTCAGAGATAAGCAATAAGTGAGTAAAACAACCTGCTGCATTAGCACTTTCCTCTCAATATGGAACAAGAATAATATCCTTAAAGACAAACTCTTATGTCGCAGTTTCTAATATCAGATCTTGATGGTATAGGCAGAAGAGACAGGTTGACCTTTTCATGGTTGCAGCCTATGTTCTTTGGATAGACCAGGCAAAGCTGGAGTGCTCATGCTTACAATCAGTTTTTTCCTCTGCCCATGTCCTCTCCTGGAGCAATGTGCTGACTGAAATGTCTTCACATGTGCAGTGGTGGCTTCAGCGTTCACAGATACAAATAATTTGCCATCATGTGATAATGTCCAACCAGTATCCATAACTCCCTCAGGTTTCAAGAAGATTTCTTTTCCATTGATGTTTCTTCTTCCTTCTTCTACATTTATCTCTAGTAGAGGTTTTATTTCTTCAATTGGGCAGTAATTATCAAAATATAAAGTTCATCTTTATATTTGGCATATAGGGAGAAATTGGCAAGGAAAGCAAGGAGAAGTCCAAGTTCTTGGGGCTCTGATGATGCTCAAATTCTGGTCATTCTGAAAGCTGGGACAGTGTTTGGAGAAGTCATGTATCTGAAAGACACCTCATAAATTTCAAAATCTGTCATCATAAAAGAAAAATCATAGGTCATAATATTAGTAAAGTTCCTGCTCCAATTTATTAAAGGTTTGATTGTGCTGAGAGTATTGGTAAAACAAGGATTTTCACATTCCTGTTTATTCCTTCCCTTCCCCGAAAGAACTGACTCAGTCAGCTTTTTAGTCCTAAGACTTAGGTCATTCTCATAAGGTAGGTGCTCAATACACATTGAATGAAGGAATGAATGAATAGCGAAAGGAAGCTGAGAGAGTTGTTGGATTGTTAGAAGACTTCAATGCCAGGCTAAGTCAGTAATGTTGAGTAGGTGAGTGATAATGATGACAGCTGTAGAAACAAGTTGCCTGAGTCCAACTTTTAGTCCATCACTTGCTGGATTTGTCCCTCTGTTACATGACCTCTCTGTTCCTCTGTTTCCTCATCTTAATGTTATAATAATAATAGTGCATGATTCAGAAGATTGACAGATGAATTATTAGAAGAGTGTTCAGCATCTATTAAGAGCTCAATAACTATTAACTATTGTTATTATTATTTACTATTTACCAGAAGAAGTTCCTCCTGCAAGTAAGACATCAAGAGTAAGAAAACAACAAATTTAAGCATTTTTCAGGCTAGACAATTCCTTATGCATTACTGTATTTTTAAACTTACTCTTTTATTCATCTAATATATACACTGAGTGCCTGGTACATACCAGGTTGCCAGGTATTGCTCTAAAATCTGGAATATACTCTAAAAACAGTAAATAAAATGTTGCCCCTCACAGAGCTTATAGTCATGTGGGGGAAACTAACAACAAATAAACAACCGGACAAGATAAATTCACATTGTAATAACTGCAGTTTTGTTAAAAATTTCAGTATGGCCAAGTCCAATGAACATGAGGCTGCACCAAGATGAGGCCAAAGAGGTGAGCAAGGATCAGATGATCCAGGGAAGGAATTTATATTTTATTCTAATTACAAATGGTTGCCAGTGGAGGATTGCAGACAAGAGAACAATGCAACTGGAATTTTGCAGACAAGACCCCCACCAGCTCCACGGAGAAGAGACAGTAGAGAATAAAAGAATAAAACAGAGAATAAAACAAAGAATAAAACAAGAATAAAACAAAGAAGGTCAGCGGAGGTCAGCCACAGGGGCTCAAGTGAAGGTTGTGGCTTTGGAGTGAAGAGTGTGCTGTCAGACAGTAGTTAGCACGTTCATGTCACAGTTGAGGAAACTGTAACTCCAGGCATCATGATCTTGCAAATGCTAACATAGCAAACCAGGTGAAGGGACAATGTTACAGTCTGAGTTTCAAGTTTTATGGATCAGAGTACACTGATCTTCCCCCATACCACAGAAGAGAAGCCTTTGTCCACCTCTAATTTCATAGCTGCTAAGATGTTATGTTCAGTTTCCAGAGATATGAAGAATTTTGGAAGATTTCATACTAGCATAATTAGGGTTTTCTTAGAATGTTGAAGCACATTATTTCTTTGTTGACAATATGCTTGCTTTTTTAAATTTTTTTTCCTTGCTTAAAGCTGGATGGCCACAGCTGTGAGGGTCCTCATGCTATGGGCCAGCTGTAGAAATACTTCTCAGAAGGTCTAAGATCTGAGGCCTTTACCTATTTTCTATTCTTTCCTTACATGGAGTCCTTGCAAAAGTGATTTAATGTTTTAGTGACTTAATAATCATTGTAATCTTCAAGGTCACAAAGCATGCAACCGTCTAATATGAAACATTGCAGAAATTAACTAGCTGCCTTCTCCCAAGTGTTGACTACTGCCTGATGAATAAAGCTTTATAAATACGTGTACATTAATTGCTGATATTATCATCATGACAGGAAGAAATACTCTAGGAATAGAATCTAGGAGCTGAAGAGTTGCAATTGAAAGGAATCTTAGGCTACTGACAACAGCTTCCCAAACAAATCTCTTCTTTCCCATTTGGGTTCTAAGGCCAAATTAAAACCAGTAGACCAGACACACTCTAAACTTGCTCAATAGTCTGGTTCATTCAAGCAGAAGGGAGCTTTTTGCCTTGATTCTCTTTATGGCTGTGGTTGAGGAAATACAGGGTGCATCTGCCTACTCCCAGTTGCCACATGCTCCAAGGGCCACTTATTTATGCCAGCAATGCAGGCATACCTGCTGATACCTAGACATGGGAATGATTTAGTAATAATGTTCACTACTCAAAAATGCTGTGACCTTTGTTAAAATGAGGTAAATTCAACAGTTTCATGTGGCTTTTTAAAAAGGGTTCTTTTTTCTTAGGAAAAAATAAATGAAAGAACTGAGGGATTTTGAGGACATTACATGTTAATCCAAAAATGCATAGTCCTGACTAAAATATAGATGTATAGTCTGTTGTAGAGAATGTAGACTAAATTTCCAATTAACATCTGCAGAGTATAGATGGCCTCGAGGTGGCTCTGACTCTACTCTTTTCCTCACAAACATCTAGTGACCAGGCTTATTCACTCATATGTTTAACCATTTCCTAGCATTCCTCTATATCTGTCAAAACCTCACCATTCTTGAAATGCATCAGAATGTTTACCCTTGGTATTGCTGTCATGATTTCAACACTATTCCCCACTGGTTTTGTCTGTCTTTGGAATGTCCTCCCTTGAAAAATATATACTCACGCTTAAACATTCAACTCAGAGGTCATCTCTGAAGCCATCTGACCATCCCTAACACAACCAATTAGTTCCTTTTCTATGTTCCCATTGTATTATCTTCATGATTTTAACACAATAGTTCCCCTTATTTATAATTATTTTGTTCAGGTGGATCTTCCCAATAGACTGAGATATTAAAATGACAACTTTCCATTTTTATGTGCCACCAGCAGATGCCAAAACTGTACAAGTGTTGGCTTTTATGTATATCTGGATTCCATTCAAAAAGGATTTGTAGAGATCCAAGGTGTGAAGGATTAAGTGGAAGCTACACTAACCTCCTCCCAGGACCAACCTGGAATTACAGCTAAATTATAAAGAAATCATCCTGAATAACCAGTTGAACACTAGCTGGAGAGAAGCCTTATAAACAAGGACAGGCAGAAGAGACCATTTTACCACAATGAGACTGCTATGGAGTAGAGAGGAGATATAAGAGAACTGCTTAGGCTCCCATAGTGGGTAGCTGAAGTCCTGGAGGGGTATTTCAGTGGCAGGAGGTGCCCACTGAGAAGTGTGGGGTCTAAACCCCAAGCTGGACTCTCCAGCCTACAGCACCAGAGCCAGAAAGGAGCCCAGATAACATCCAGTGGTGAAAAGCAGCAGAGTTTCTCTCTGCCAGGGAGGGACAGCTGAAGATGCAGAGAGCCTCTTAAAGGGTGAACATACAAAATTCTGTTTGCAGCCACTTACCCTGGGCTCTGGCAGAGGGAGAGCAGAGTGGAGTAAAGACACTTGAGGAGAGTGGGAGTTGGTGGCTCTCTGGGGAGAGAACTCAAGGAACAACAGCCAGGTTCCTGTGCTGAGTCATTCCCCATAGTTCAGGAGCCATCTTTCTCAGACAGAGAACTCTTCTCCAAGTGGCATCAATAGCTGTGCCCAAAAGAATTACTCTGCCCCACCCTGTGGTGCTTAAGCAGGGTTGTTGATTAAAGCTTAAGGCTACAGCATTAATTAGTGTAACAGCTAAAGCAGAAAATACAAAGAAATAGCCAAGATGGGAAGACAAAGAAACAGATCCCAAAAGAAACAAGAGAACTCTACAGAAAAAGAACTAGGTGAAATGGAAGCAAGCAACTATTCAGATAGAGAGTTTATATTAATGATTATAAAGATACTAAACATTAAAAAAAAAGACAGAGAACCATAAAAAAGGACCCATCAGAAATAAAGAAAGCAATATCTGAGATAAATAATACACTGAAAGGAAGGACAGAATCAGTATTTTGGAATATAAGGTAGAAGAAAACTCCCAGGCAGAGCAGCAAAAAGAAAAAAGAGTTTAAAAATAAGAACAGGGTTTAAAAACCATTTTGGACAACATGAAGCATAACAACATCTGCATGATGGGAATAACAAAAGGAGAAGTGAACAAGCAAGAGATCAAGAACTTATTTGAAGAAACAATGACCAAAAACTCCCCTAGTCTGGTGAAAGGAAAAGATTCACAATTCTAGGAAGCTCACAGAGTCCCAGACAAGTTGGTCCCAAAGAGGTCTACATCAAGACACATCATAATTAAAATGACAAGGCTTAAAGACAAGTAGAGAATTCTAAAAACTTCTACACAAAAGCAGGTAGTTACCTACAAGGAAGCACCAATTAGACTGTCATCTGATTACTCACCAGAAGCATGTCAGGCAAGAAGAATGTGTCGTGAAATATTCAAGGTGATGAAAAGCAAGGACCTACAACCAAGAATGCTTTACCCAGCAAGTTTATCAATTAAAATCAAGGAAATATAAGGAGCTTCCCAGACAACAAAAAGCTAAAGGAGATTGTTAATGCCATACCAGTAGTACTGTAACAAATGTTAAAGGGCTTGCTTTAAGAAGAAAAAGAAAAAAAAGATTAATGAAAAAAATACAGAGGAAAACAGTGTAACAACAAAATGGCACTACATACATATCTATAAATATTCACCTTAAATGTAAATGGCTTAAATGGTCCAACCAAAAGACAAAGGGTAGCCGAATGGATAAGAAAACAAAACTCATATATATGTTGCCTCCAAGATCCCCATCGCAAGTAGAAAGATACACACAAACTAAAAATGAAGTAGAAAAAGATATTCCATGCAAGGAGAAAGGAAAAAAAGCTGGGGTATCAGTATTTATATCCAACAAAATAAAATTTACAATCAAGGCTATAGTAAGAGACAAAGAACACTACATAATGATAAAGGGACAATCCAAAAATAGGATATCACCCTAGAAAACATTTATGTACCAAACATAGGAGCACCTAAATATGTGAAGCAAATTTTGGTGGGCATACAGGGACAGATC